TAATAAAACAGTGAAATAAGTTACAACAATAGCAACAATGTAGTTACATCTCAGAAATAAGATGGGCAGACAGGAAAGGAGGGAAGCCAATGTACAAGAGACTATATTTGGTATAATTATCCTTAAGTACCTTTCAGAAATTGCTAAGACTAATGACAGTTTAATGATACATACATAATAAAAACTTTATTTTTTAATTTTTTTTTTATTTTTGGTTTTTCTCCGGTACCAGGAACCGAACTCACGACCTTGTGCTTGCCAGGCAGGCGCTTTTGCCGCTGAGCTAAATCCCCAGCCCCCATAATAAAAACTTTAAAAGGGCAATGTTAGTGGTGGCACACACCTGTAATAGCATTTGACAGGCTGAGGCAACAGGATCACTGCAGGTGGGAGTCTAGCCTAGATTACATAGTCCCTGTCTCAAAAAACCAGCTGGGCATGGTGGTGCATCTGTATAAGCCCTGCACTCAGGAGGCTGAGACAGGAGAATCACTGTGAGTTCAAGCAGCCTGGCCTATGTAATGAGTTCAAGGCCAGCCTAGCCTGCATAGTGAGACCCTGTCTCAAAAAAAAAAAAAAAAAAATCAGTAAACAAGCAAGTAAACAAAATGCTAATTCAGAATAATAGTTACCTCTGAAGAGATAAGAACAAAGTTTTTTCTTTAACAACATGGTGACAACTAGGTGTTCCTTCAATGATGATTCTTTTATTTTGGGTTTTTTCATTTGGTTTTGTTTCCTCTGAGACAGGTCTTCGTACATAGTCTAGGAGCCTTGACCTCACTATAGCACAGGCTGGCGTTGCATTCAAAATCCCCCTGCTGCAACCTTAGGAGTGCTGGGATTGCAGGGTGTGCAATCACATTCAGCTGCCAAACTGTTATATTTACAAGTATATTTAAGGAACCAAACATGGTGATGCATACTTGTAATCCAGCGCTCAGGAGGTTGAAGTACGGTTGTAATTTGGGACCAGCATACATGCATACCCATGTTTATAGTGGCATAATTCACAATAGTTCAACTGCAGAGACAGCCTAGATGTCCATCAACAAATGAATGGATAAAGAAAAGGTGTATATATATATATATATACATTATGTACTGTTATTCAGCCGTAGAGAAGGAAATCCTGTAATTTGCAGAAAAATAGATGAAACTAGAGGCCATTGTGTTAAAACAGAATAAGGCAGACTCAGAAAGTTAAACACGGCATGTTTTCTGTTATGTGAGAAATCTGTAAGGTAAAGGAGAGATGACAAGAAATGAGGTAAACTTGAACATGGGGAAGGGGATCAGAGGGAGAAGGGAGGAAAGAGAGAAGCGGGTAATGGAATAGAAAATGATCAAGATTAAAAATGCATTCAACAAGTTGGCAAAACAAATTTCATCATTCTGTTACTAATATGCATGAAAAATAAAAGCCAAAATGAAAAAAGTGTACTTAAGGAACGGTTAGCAGAAGTCACAGACATGACCTGTAGGTCACAAGTGTCCACAGACTTGTTTTATTTAGCATTGCAAGGTGGGAACAACTGACCACGACACAAAAGCAGGTCCTTTATAGAGCTTTCTGCTCTCCAGTTTTTCCTTTGCCCACCAAAGGAATAATTTGCTGGCTCCTAGATGCATTTGAGTTTGAAGTGCTTGAGTTCAGAACTGGAAGGAAACCTAAGGATCATGTCTGATCAACTCCATTTTCTAGATGAGGAAATAAAAGAGATCCATAGCAGTTGATAAAATTAGTGTGTCTCACTTTCTAGCACACGCTGTGGTGTTTTTATCATTTATGCTTTAGTGCCTACCACACAACATGCCCTCAACACTGGGTTTTATCAAATAACAATGACCTTTCCCCAACTGCGTATTTCTGGTTCATTCACTCACTTCACAATTTCTTTTTTTCAGGTTTTCTTTTTTTGAGACAGAGTTTCACTATGCAGTTCAGGCTGGCTTTGAACTCACTGAGACTGAGGCAATTCTGCCTCAGCCTCTTGAGTGCTGGGATCCAAATTCCTTTTGAAAAAATGTGCTAGACACCACAGAATGAGTGACAGAAACAGTGCTGAACTGTGATTAAAGAAAGGTCAAGAGTAAATGCTAAGAACCTGATTCTACCCCCTTATCAGTAAATAAAAAATTAGAGACTAATATCTCTGTCAGCCATCCATTTTCAATTTTTATATACTCCAGATTACTACAAATGCATAGAACCCAAAGAAATTCCTAAATGGCCTGTGTGTTAGTCTGGTCCTCAAGAAAGCATCTGCCCAGATGAAATTAAATGTGCAAAGGTTTAATTAGGGGAAATGCTTTTATATATAAGGGACAACAGGAAGGAAGCCAAAGCAGAGGGAGAGCCCTTAGACCTTGGTGCAAGTCTGACCTGGTGAAGAAAAGAGGAAGCCAGGAAAGGGAGAATTGCCCTAAACTGCCTTGCAACCTAGGGAAGGTTCAGCAAAGGCCCTTCCGGGTAGTATATACACTCAAGTCCCTTTGCCCCTTCTCCCTGGAAAGGAGGGAGGTTACGCTAGATTACGCTCAATCTCTAAGCGGTGTATTCTCATGTTTTCATATCTGCTACACAGGCCCTGCAAAAGCTGCAGTGTGTTTAGCCTGGTTAGTTACAGACTTGACCTCTGCTTTATGCACTTGGTCTACGGCAGTGAAGGCAAGCCTTTGAGAGCTTTCAATGGTAACAAACAGCCTACTGTGCCACTCGTGCCATAGATTCACCACCACTGATCTAGGGCTTTCAAGGCAAACCCCCAGTGTTTACTTACTAAAACCTTCAGCAGGGGCTGGGGATTTAACTCAGCGGCAAAGTGCCTGCCTGGCAAGCGCAAGGTCGTGAGTTCAGTTCCCGGTACCGGAGAAAAAACAACAAAAAATAAAATAAAATAAAACCTTCAGCAGCTATGGTCACACAGAATCGCCCTAGGTGCCCACACCATAAAAGCAAGATTATGGAACTTGACTGACCAATTTCCCTTACCCAGACCTAGCCCTCCTCTTTTTTACCTAAAAAAAAACCCAGAGTAAGTCTGGATCAGTGTCCAAATGAGTGGAAATATTCCCGTCTGGGAAGGATAATGTTGTATGAAAGACCTAATACCGTATGTGCTAAGACTGCACTGCTAGGAAAACAGGACAATTCTGAAACAGTTTCCCTCAGTATGTCGACTTCCTTGCTAGCAGCTTCTGTCTTTTATTCTCTGGAAAAAGAGTGGGCATATTCCAAACAAAGCCACTTTTATTAAGTTTCCTTTCATATTTGGAAATATCCTTTATTTAGCAGCGAGAAATTAGCATCACTAAAGTGCTATTTTGCATTTAGAAAATGAAGTACTTTTAAATTGCACGTTTTTAATTTACACCATGCAAAATTCAAAAAGGATAAAGATAGAGGGAAAAGCTGGCCTTCCCACCATCTCAAAACCAATTCCACTCCCCAGTATACATTCAAGCAAATATATTTTCTCACTTTTACATAAATAGGAAACTATACAGTTTACAGCTGCAGGGTATTGGATTGTATGGCAGTGTCACATTTAACTGCATCAGTCCCTTACTAGTAGATATTTAAGGTTTTCTGTCCAAGCTACAAAAAATGCTGCAGTGAACAAGCTTGTACATACGTTATTTTACATGTGTACAACAATATATGATGGATATGTTTCATTCATGTCTTGGTTACTTTGCTCCTTAAGACAAAACCTGATACAAGTTAAAAGAGGGAAGGTTTATTTCAGCTCAGTTTGTAGCAATCGGAGTCCATAGTGGCTCCTCCCAGGCAGGGTGCATGGCAGAGGGGCATTGCAGAGAAGTAACAGTCCATGGCAAGCAGGGAGGAGAAAGCCAAGCAACAGCAAGGCTGCCTTCCCTCTCCCTTTATATTCCATCCAGGCTGTAAGCCTACTGATTGGTGCCACCCACATCCAGGGTGGGGCTTCTATTATCTACACCCTTAATCGCAGTATCACACCCTTACATCCACATTCACACACCCTAATCCAGATACCTTCCAAACTCCCCACCTATAACGGCATGAGGGTTTAGGGGGACATCTAGATACAAGAAATAACAACAATTCACACTTTGGTATTTCCAAAATGTTCCCAACAGAATTTATGCCAATTGGCACTTCTATATATAAATATCAGGGAAGGTTTTAGATCAGGAAGACATATGGAAGGTGGAAAAATTATGTATTTTTTGTTTGTTTTTTGTTTTTTGAGACAGGGTCTTGCTGTATAGCTCAGCCTGCCCCTGAAATAACTATATAGCCCAAGCTGGCCTCGAACTTGCAGCAATCCTCCTGCCTCAGCCTTCTGAGTGCTGGGATTACAGGCATTCGCCCCCACACCGGGTCTAAAATTATTATCTTTAAGAAACAAAGTTTGACAGGCATGGTGGCACAAACCCATAAGCCTGGCACTTGAAAGGCTGAGACAGGATTGCTGTGGGTTCTGTAGGCAGTAAACCCCAGACTCAATTTGTCGGTGCAGAAATAAAGCACTCAGACACCAAGAAATCTTGGTAAGACAAAGTTTTCATTTCTGCAGAAGGGTTCGAGCACACCTAGCTGCAACAGCAGCTCGTTATATATCCCAACGGGATCGCTGACCTCCCCACTGGCTGGCTGGAAGTGTTACAACCAATCTCAATCGTCTAGTTTAGGTGGCATGAGGGAGTGGGGCCCAAAGGGTGGCTGGGCTAAGTGGCTCAGGGGATTCATTGGAGACAAGGTGCTGCCAGAGTTCAAGCAGCAGACTAGCCTTGTAACTGTAACAACTGCAACCTTAGTGCCTAGGGTGGAGGAGTGCAGCCTAAGCTGAAATAAAGTTTACGACGGAGGCGCTCCTGTTTATATCCTGTTTTATGTCACAGTTTCTCACAGTTCGAGGCCAGCCTGGACTGCACAGTGAGTTCATGACAAGCCTGAACTACAAAGAGCGATCCTGTCTCCAAAAACTAAAAACCAAAAACAAAAACCAAGGGTTGAGGTGTGACTTACTGGTAGAGTGCCTGCCTAGCACGTGTGAGGAACTGGGTTCCATCCCGGTACAAGGAAAAAAGGCTCAAAGACCCAACTATAACCAAACACACTTTGTTTGCACATTGACATTTGCTGAGCCAAGTAACATCTTCTCCTTCTCAGACACTAACATAAGTGCGCCAAAATCAATGAGAAGCAAAACTCCTGAACAATGTTCAGCTCCAGGAACATGGTGAGAAGTCAGAAGAGGACAGCGGAGAGAAGGATTACAGAACTTCTCTCAAAAGAATCTTCCTGAGTGTCCACCTGGTGGGAGCAAGTTCCTTCCACTTCATTGTCTTAGAGTCAAACCAAACTCCTGGGCGGTGAGTACAGGCCCATTATGATGCAGAGAACGCTGGGAGTCGGAGGCTGTCACTACGGCGGTGGGCACGCGGAGAGGCAGCTGCGGACGATGGGCCCGAAGCAGTGCGCAGCCTCTAGGAGTCTTCTCCACTTAAGTGGGTTCCCGCCTAGGTCGCAGGTAAAGCCTCTTCCCTGGAATCAGACGCCCGGCCCGCAAAACCTAGCGATGCTCAGTCCGCCGACCTCGAGGGGGCGTGGGAGAAACTCAAGCTTGGTCAGCCACCGGGCTGCAGAGCTACCGCCCGCTCCCAACACGGCCCTCCCTAGTCCACCTGTTTCTGCTTTCTCAGACATACTAAAGCAGGACGACTGGGGCCACGCGAGTCACGTGACGCCAGATCGCCACGTGAGCGAGCTCGTCACGTGGCGCGGGCCAGGGGGAGTAGGCGGGGCTCGGGGAGGAGGCGGGGTCCCAGGGTTTACGTCATCAAACCGCGCCGCCTGGAGAGCGGAGCTGGAAAGACCACTGGCTACGCCTCCAGAGCCCCTGGGCCTGGGCGGCGGCGCTCGGCGCCGCCTGAGCCGCCAGCTGGAGCAGCGCTTACACCATCCCCTCGGGCGGGGCCGGGCCCCGCCTGCTAGGTGGCCAGAAGCAGAGGTGAGTCGCGGGGAGCTGGTGCCTGCCATCCCTTTCCTTCTTACGGTCAGCTCTCTCGTGGCCCTGCCCCCACCCTTCGTCACCCTGCCAGGTGGAATTAGGGACCTAGGGAGAGGAGAGTGGGGGGCGTCTGGCCTCGAGGCTCCTTTCTCCACTGTGCCCTGCACTGCGCCCCTCCTATCCTTCCACCCCGCGGTCCCAGCTGTAAACTTGGTGCTGAATTGAGAATATGGCACCCTTGTCCGCCTCTAATCTCCACTTCTATTCAGGTGTTAGCTGAAGTTAAGAGGACAGGTCACTTCCAAAAGGTGAGGGGGAAGGGTGTCTGTGGCTGCGGGGTGAGACAGGAACCCCAAGAGAAAGACCATTCTGCACCGAGGCGACTGTGTTTTGACACACGTTATAAAGCCCAGGCACAGAGAGCCCCGTGGTAGCGCCCCAGAAAATCTTCACAGCCCGTAGACGTTTCTTTAGAATTGTCTTGCATTCTCAGAGTTGAAACTAAGTTGATTTAAGGAACTCTTTTCGAAAACATAGGCTTTGATGAATCCTTTCCTTTTCTGTAAAATGATTTTGCTGAGTCGGAGAAAATGTCTGGAGTGTTTACAGAGTAACGTGGTAATTGTAAACAGAAGTAAAAGACAATGTAGACTGTCGTTTTTGTATTCAAAAATTATAACTGAATAGTGGATTTTTTTTGTTTTTGTTTTTTGAGATGGGTGGGTTCTTGCTGTGTAGTCCAGGCTGGCCTCAACACTCGGCAGTCCTCCTGCCTCAGCTTCCCAAGTGCTGGAATTACAGGGATGCCCCACCATGCCCAGCTAGTAATGGACTTTCAAAGACCACAGTTTTTTTTGTTTGTTTGTTTTGGTTTTTGTCTTTTTTTTGAGGCAGGGTCTCGCTGTGCAGTTCAGGCTGGCCTTGAGCTCACTTTGTAGCCCAGGCTGGCCTCGAACTCTCAACGAGCCTCCTGCCTCCACCTCCCAAGTACTGGAATTACAGGTGTGCGCCACCACGCCCAGCTAAAGACCACAGTTTGATTTTTCTTTTATTGGCTCATTTCAGAAGATTTTGGATTTCACATAAAAGACTATCCTAATAACTACCCCCATTTCATTCCACAGAAACCGTTCCTTGATGTCTACTAGGGATTGGTTCCAGGACCCCCACCATACCAAAATCTCTGCAAGCTGAAGTTCTTTACATAAAATGGCATATGTATTTGCATATAACCTATGCACACCTTCCATATACTATAAAGGATTTTTAGATTACTCACGCCCAATACAATGTAAATGCTATGTGAATAGTTGTCCAAGTTTTGTTTATTGAGTAATAACAAGGAAAAGGGTATGTCTTGCTAACTCACCAGGTTGCCCAGGCAAGGCTTAAACTTGTGATCCTCCTGCCTCTGCCTTCCAGAGTACTAGGGTTACAGGTGTGTGCCACCTCCAGCAGAAGAGGTAACTTTCACTTGGAAAGTTGGTGTTTAGATTGTGGTGGTAATTCTAGAGATAGGAGTGCTCTCTATTTGTGGATGTTTTGATCTGGGGAAGCCTCTTCTTGGTTCCTGAATTAGTAAAGCTAATTAAGGATGTTCAGTTCCCAGTTTATTCACAAGTGCTCTTTATTTTATTCTCTTGTCGTTGCAGAGTCCAAGGACCCCTTTTGTTCTTCCTCCATATTGCTTAATGGGAGGCATTATGGCCCCCAAAGATATAATGACAAATACTCATGCTAAATCCATCCTCAACTCAATGAACTCCCTCAGGAAGAGCAATACCCTCTGTGATGTGACGCTGAGAGTAGAACAGAAAGACTTCCCTGCCCATCGGATTGTGTTGGCTGCCTGCAGTGACTACTTCTGTGCCATGTTCACTAGTGAGGTAAGTGGGGAGTTATCGCCACACAAATGAAATGATGTCCAGTCTGGCCTGGAGACCCCTGTATAGATCAGGCTGGTCTTAAACTCTCCATAGTACTGCATTGGTTTCCCAAGTGCTGGGGTTACAAGAGTATGCCACCATATCCAGCTGGATTTTATTTATTATTTTCAAATTTGTCTTTCATTTTTCTTCTAAAGTGAGTATCAGAGGGATAGGGAGGGAGGAAATTAGAAAAGAGGAGGTGTGGAGTACAGGATTTTCTAACAGTATATGAAGACGTTGCCTGCAGTTTAAGCAGTTGAGAGACTGAAGCAGGGAGATCCTGAGTTTGAGACTAGCCTGGACTATATAGTGACCCTGTCCAAAATATCAACTGGGTAGGGGTGTAGCTCAGCAGGTGCAAGGCCCAGGTTCAATCACCAGTACCAGAAACAGAGAGGGAAGGAGAGGGGGAGAAAGGAATACTATCGGGTTGTTTTGGCTGCCTGCAGTGACTACTTCTGTGCCATGTTCACTAGTGAGGTAAGTGGGGAGTTATCGCCACACAAATGAAATGATGTCCAGTCTGGCCTGGAGACCCCTGTATACCCCTGGAGACCCCTGGAGACCCCTGTAATCCTAGCCACTTGGGAGACTGAGGCAGGAAACCTGAACTGCTTAGTAATTACTAACAAAACACCTGAGATGTAAAGTAAGGCAGTTGAATGTATTATGAGATTATGAGGTACTCCAAGAAAGCTGAACAGAAGAGAGCACTGCAGATTGTTTGTTTTTGTTTTATGAGGTGCTGGGGCTAAAACCCAGAGCTTGGCACATCCCAGGCAAATGCTCTATTGCTGAGATACACTTGCAACCCTTACTTTTTGGTTTTGGTTTTTTTGAAACAGGGTCTTGGTATGTAGTAGGGCTGGCTTTGAACTCCTGATCCTCCTGTCTCAGCCTCCTGCGGGTTGGGATTATAGGTGTGCACCTATTATATACTTAGACATATGCCTGAGATATATCAATTATGATAACACTTGTTTTGTGGGGGGGTGGGGGATGTTCTATTCTTTTTTTTTATTTTCTTTTTGAGACAGGGTCTCCCTATGTAGTTCAGGCTGACCTTGAGCTTACTTTGTGGCCCAGGCTGGCCTTGAACTCACAACGATCCTCCTGCCTCAGCCTCCCGAGTGCTGGGATCACAGGCGTGAGCCACCACACCCAGCCTGGGGGGAGGTTCTTAGTGGAGATTGAACCAGCACCTTCACACTGAGCTACATCCCCACCTCCTTTTTGGTTTTGTTTGGTTGGTTGGTTATATTTTGAGACAAGTTCTCGCTTTGTAGTTCAGGCTGGCCCAAGTGCTTACATTATAGGTGTGCACCACTATGCTCAACTCCCTAGCCTTTTACCTTTTTTATTTTGAGACAGGTCTCACTAAGTTGCTAAATTGCTCAGGTTAGGCTCTACCTCTGATCCTCCTACTTCAGCTTCCCAGAGTACTGGAATTATAAATGTGCAATACCACACCTATGATAAAACTTCTTGAAAAGTATTTCTAAACCAGGTGTGGTGGCACATGGCTGAAAGCCCAGCACTTGGAAGGCTGAAGCAGGGGAATCACCACAAGTTTTAGGCCAGCCTGAACTATGTAGCAAGATCCTGTCTCGAAAAGAAAAGTATGTCTCACCACCAGTATTTTTTTTTTGTTTTGTTTTTTTCCAGTACCGGAAATCGAACTCACGACCTTGCGCTTGCCAGGCAGGCGCTGTGCCACTGAGCTAAATCCCCAGCCCCCACCACCAGTATTTTCTTTAGTTAGTTCCATCACTTTAGTGAAGATGTTGCTTCTAGATCTGAGTGGGAGTGGTAGTATCATAATAATGATAATAACTACTTTGGTATATAAGCTACTGTGCTACATGTTTGTTATCTCATCTACCCTAGAAGTAGGTATTACCATCTCCTTTTACAAGTGAAGGAGCAAGATATATTAAATGACTTGCCCCGAGTCACATGACATGTAGATGGTAGAGGTAGGATTTAATCCTGTATCTTCTGAGACTAAAGTCTGGTTTTGGACTTCTGTGTCTCCTCAGCTTCCGCAGTATGGATTTTTATAGTGCACTATCTAGCTTTAAAGCTAGTATAGTTTATGATGCTGTCAGCCAATGCTCAGTCACATAGACATGTAGGAAAAACACAACCCAGACTAACTTAAAGTGATTCTGTCTGATGTAACGTTGCAGATCCCTTCCTAGACATTTCTCCCTGATACCTGCCCAAGAGCATCAGAAACAGTTGGCATTTAGCTGGGTATGGAGAATGTTACCCAGCAGCTGCTAAGCAGGAAATGACTGCTAGCTGCTAGTCATATATTGTGCATCCTGTATTTTGTCAGCTTGAAGAAAATTTACAGATTTTTCCCCCTACATTTAGAAATTAGTATGAAATTTTACAGAAGCATTATTTTTCTCATAATGATTAAAAAAACAAACAGGGTCTCACTGTGTAGTTCAGGTTGACTTTGAACTTATAGTGATCCTCCTGCCTCAGCCTCCCAAGTGCTGGGATTACAGGTGTGAGCCACCATGCCTGACTGTTTCTTTCTTTAAAAATTGCTACTAGACAAGAAAGTGCTATATGGTTTTGTCTTTACTTTTAAGAGTAGTTATTTTAAAGGAAAGAGTGTAGACCTGGGTTCTAGGCTTAGTTCTTTTAGTAATTCTGTATGAGCTGTGGCACTCATCTCATTTCACTGGGAGGCTCTGTAAAATGAAGTGGTTGAGCTAAATGATTCTTTGTTCTCTTCCAGCCCCTCAAATGTTCTTTAAGTGCCCAACTAGGAAATTATAGGACTATGGCCAGGGCCCTGGATTTTACCTAGCTCTTACTAGTTAAGTGACCCCGATCAAGTCACAAAACTTTGAGTTTTAGAACCTTTGTCTCTTAAGTGGAAGAAATATCAGACTTATCTGCTTCACTGAGTTGCTGTTAGAATCAGATGAAATAATAGTGAATGAGAAGCATGCTGACTGGTTGTAAATCATACTATAAATATAAAGTGGTCTGGGTTCTTACATAAATGAAATCATTGCCGTAATTAAACTATTTGAGTAATGAGAATGTATCTCATGTATTGAACGAGAAACTTCTGGAATGCATGTATTCTTAGTATTGTATTAGTATTGTATGAGTTTAATGTGCTGTGACAGTAATTGTTTTTAAATACCTGTGTTTAATGTTAATAAACCTAATATGTTTTCCCCAAATAATGTACTAGTAATGTTTTTTAACATGAGGAATTGATCTGAGTTTGGCTTTGGTAAGAATCATTTTTGAGAGCTGAGCATGGTGGTGCACGCCTGTAATCCAAGCACTTGGGAAGCTGATGCAGGAGGATCCTTGCAAGTTTGGGACCAGACTGATCTATAAAGGGAGCTCAAGGCCAGCCTGAACTGCATAGCAAGACCCTGTCTCAAAAAGATAAAAAAAAGGAATCATTTTTGATTACTGCCTGGGCTGAGAGAAATCAAAGCCATTTAGTTCATAATGAAAGTATATTGGAGTTTTGTAATATGAATTCTTAAACTAAAATTTAGTAAACTTTTCATAAAGTAATTAGCTTTCAGACAGTTCACTGTCCTGTAATGTTGATAATGTCTACTCACTGGGTAGTTTATCCCAGCCTTGAATTCATTGTGTAGCCTGGGCTGGCCTCAAACTTGGAGCTTCTCCTATCTCGGCCCTTAAGTGCTAGGATTATAGTCATGTACTACTCTGCCTAGCTTAAGATTTCCATTCTTACCTAAACAATTTTCTATGATTATGTGGTCTCATTAGTACTCATTATTTAAAGGAGATACCCTAAGCTAAATATACTACCAATGATTCTGTAATCCAAAATAGAGTTAACCTTGTATTTTGTAACTTGACTTTTGTGTGTTTGTGCACATGTGCATTGGGAATCAAACCCAGGGCCATGTACAGGCCAGACAAGCATTCTATACCAGCTACATCCCCATGACCTAGTGTTCTGAAAAAGTATCAACAGCTCAGTTGTATTTAGTGTTACAGAAGATTGCTTTTTACAGCAATCTGCCTGTCTCTTTTCATTGTTACCCCGTGTAGTCTAAGGGAAGATGGCAGGAAATTGGTAATCCTGGAGAGGATGTGAAGCTATAACCCATAAAGTCCTTTATAAGAATGAAATTTGGTTGAAATTGTTTTATCTTAAAAGCTCAGGGCACCAGTGGTATGTTCATGTAACTTTTGCATCTGTTCTATTTCCATGTTGGTTTCAAGATGGAATCAGGATTTTAAATTGCTTACTACTGAAATTGATATTCCGCTTCTCTGTACTCCTGGGGGTGCAAATAACTGCCCACTCTATTTTAAATGCTACAGATTTATGCCATATTTAGGGTGCTGTACTGGGGATTGAACCTAAGGCCTTCACAATGATTACGTCCCTAGCCCTTTTGTATTTTGAAACAATCCTAGAGTGCTGGCATTATATGAGTGCACTACCCTGCCCAATTTAGACTATAATTTTTGGGGGGGTGAATTCTTTTTAAGTTTGAATAAAAAGAAGTGATGTCCTTTTATAAAATGCCTTCTCCCCTTTCCTGCCTTCAGCCACTTTACCTCCTAAGAGGAGGAAACATTTTAACCTGCAGGGTTGTGGGTCTGAGAAGCAGCTTTCTGCACCCTGACCTGGGCAGGGCTGTGGACCGCAGGGACGCAGCCTTCCTGCTCTGTCATGGCCCAGAAAGGTTGCAGGGACAGTGATGTCTCCTGTGAGTACCAAATGTTCTGAGGCATTAGGATTTCCTTTTTGTTTTCATCCATGCTTTTCTCTTTGAACAGAAAAGCAAAGGGCCCTCTGATTCATCATGGTGGGCTGTCCATGGACATAGCTTATGGAAGATAATTTTTATACACACTTTTATAGATTATTTTATAGCATGTGATTCGCTTTGGTGCAAAGGAAGTAGAGGGGAGCAGACTGTCTCCAGGGCTCCCTGGCTGCGCAGCTGCCTGGTAGGATGTGGAGTTAGCCGACAGGGCACCCTGGACCTTGCAGAGATGTGGGGTGTCTGGGGTTTCTGTCTCACATATGGTCCCAGAGCATCACCTGCCACTTTTTGTTAAGGTTCTGGCCAGAAGGAGGGTGAGGGTAGAAGAAAGTTATTCCTCTGGATATGCCTCTGGGCATAGCCGGCTAGGAGAGAAGGCTACTGTGGGTCTCCAGGAAGGGAAGACAGTCTCTGAAAGGCTGCTCTACCTCAACTTCCTGGGCCTGGTCATGGTGGGGCAACAAGACTCAGTCCCTGCTGTCAAGGGTGGGAGAGACAGGAGGCAGGACACAGCCTCCAGCAGGCACTCGCAGCGTCCTTGTCTCCCCTACACAAGGGTTCCTTGTTTCTGTCTCTTCCCACCGCTCTCCTTCCATGCCTCTGGGGTAGCTTGTTAGACTCTAATTTTTAAAGGATGTATTTTATGCTTTTGGACTTGAAATTGTCTTTATTTTGTGGAATTATAACTACTATTATTTCATACCCGGTGAATTTTCAGCTTTCAGAGAAGGGGAAACCTTATGTTGATATTCAAGGTTTAACTGCCTCTACCATGGAAATCCTGTTGGACTTTGTGTACACAGAAACAGTACATGTGACGGTGGAGAATGTACAAGAACTGCTCCCTGCAGCCTGTCTGCTTCAGCTCAAAGGTACAGGCATTAAAAGTTGCCACTGTTCTTGCCAAATTAGCCCTGGGAATGTTTAAAATTGATATCAGCTCCGTCATGAAACTTAAGAGACTAGACTATGGACGCTTATGTTTATGGTCCATGGCTTTGGAATCTTTGAGCAACTAAAGAAAAAGATGTCAAGAAATGTCACTATCAGTACAAGGGAACCATCAAACTATGAGTATTTAGCTCTATAACAGACCATTTACAGCTTTATTGTTTTTTAAAAAGTGGAAGAATGGATGGTATGTGCATTTTTCTTTCTTACAACATTTCTGTAAAGAAATAAAAGAAACTGATAGTGTTCCTTGCATACTGTCTGTCTGGCCAGTAGCTAGCCTGATGTACAGGGAGGCTCAGCCTCCCATGTAGCTGGGATTACAGGAGTGTGCCACCATGCCCAGCTTCTAGTCTTGTCTTTATTAGCCTCCAGCTTTTATTGTTTTGTTTTTATATGTACATAATTGAAATATTTTCTACTTTTAGTACAAGAGTGAAATAAATTTAGGTCCTGAATGTTTTTTGTGTATATGTGGTGCCAGATATTGAACCTGGGTGAGTGTTGTACCCCTGAGCTCCATCCCCAGCCCCACTCTGAAATTTTCAAGTAGATAAATATGAGACTGTTCATAGAATCTTCTGTTTTTTCTTCACTGAAATCTTTTAGTAGGTTTTGATGTGGAATAGAAAAACAGGTACATTGTGCTGAATTAGTAATTACTTTGTAATTTGGTTCCCAAGAGTTTTAGTTTTTGATTAATTGTACCAGTGTCCTTGGAAGCAGTTCATCTTGCCATATTGGTTTTAAAGGTGAAGCAGAGACAGATAAAGAGTTTTACTGAAAGTGATACGGCACATAATATAGAAATAACATTCAGATTCCTTAAGGATGAAATTTCTGATTTTAGTGCTGGGCATGGTGATGCATGCCTGTAATCCCAGCATTCCAGAGGCTGAGGCAGGAAGATTGCTGTGAGTTTAAGGCCTAAACTGCATAGTGAAACTCTGTCTCAAAAGAACAAACAAACAAAAAAATTTTTAAAGCACATTTAAAAAAAAAAAATTCTAGTTTTATAGCCAGGTGTGGTGGCTCACTCCTGTAATCTCAGAATGCTAGGAAGGAGGATTAAAGCCACAGGTTTAAGTACAATCTGGTCAGTTTAGTGCCTTAGTGAGACCTTTTCTCAAACTAAAAATATTTCAGAGATCTGGAGATGTAGCTCAGTGCAAAAACTCTGGGTTCAATCTCCAGTACTGCAAAAAAACAAAAAACAAAATCTAATCTTGTGTCTTAGTTGTTGAGCTAGTGTGTAACAGATAGAGGAGACGCTGAGGTTCAAGAGTATACCACAAATTTAGCCCTGGCCAACTATCCTGAACTAAATTCACTACCTGTGTTTGTCCTAGGTGTGAAGCAAGCCTGCTGTGAGTTTTTAGAAAGTCAGCTGGACCCTTCTAATTGTCTGGGTATCAGGGATTTTGCTGAAACTCACAACTGTGTTGACTTGATGCAAGCAGCTGAGGTTTTTAGCCAGAAGCATTTTCCTGAAGTGGTACAGCATGAAGAATTCATTCTTCTAAATCAAGGAGAGGTGGAGAAGCTAATCAAGTGTGATGAAATTCAGGTACAGTTTGGGCTTGGTGTTCTGGTTTCTTTAAAACTGGGCCATTAAAAATTTGTAAGGTAAGATGGAGTTACTGTTCCTGTATCAGGGCTTTATGATGAATTGTGCATGTTAACTTCAAAGCTTTGGGTGTATTTGTATATTATGGAGAAGGACTTCGCCACTTTCCCCCATTAAACATATGATCCCAGTGTTTGAGAATCAGAGTGTAGAATAAGCAAAAATTGAAAGTAAATTCTTCCAAAATAATGTATTGCACATTCACTCATTTCAGAAAATTTATTGAAGATATACATGGTGTAGTAATCACTGTGGATCTAAAGCCCAGTAAGATATAATTCTTGCTTTCAGGAATGTCTGTCTATCTGTCTGTTAGAGAATAATGGACCTATACAAGTTAAGTTAGTTACATAAAATAAAAAACTAGGCCAGGCATGGTGGCTCACATCTGTAATCCCAGCAATCCCAGCACTCAGGAGGCTGAGGCAGGAGGATCATTGGGAGTTCGAGACCAGCCTGGGCTACAAAGAGAGCTCAAAGCCAGCCTGAACTGCATAGCGAGACCCTGTCTCAAAAAGACAATAAATAGGGCTGGGGATTTAGCTCAGCGGCAAAGCGTCTGCCTGGCAAGCGCAAGGTCGTTAGTTCGGCTCCCGGTACCGGAGAAAAAAAAAAAAAAAAAAAAAAAAAAGACAATAAATGAATGAAAGAAAGAAAGAAAAGAAAAAACTTTTGCCCAGAAGTGATCAGAAAGAAAGAGACAGGTTTGCTAGTAAAGATCTGCATGAACTAGATTATAACTGCTTCTTGCTGGTGCAAGGTACGGTGGAAGAAAAGGACTTGTAAACTCGGTGTTACAGAGTAAGGCTTCACCCAGCAGAGGGTGAACTACACACTCAGCAGAATCTTAGTCCTAATTCTGTTTTTTTTTTTTTTTCTATGTGTGTGTGTTGTTTTTCAATCCTAATTCTAAATCATAGAATTTTACATATACATCTATGATTAGGCTGAGAATTAGGATTGAAAAAATCCAATATAGGGCTAATAGATATCTTTAGAGCCTGTAGCATGAAATTCCTATATCTAATTCTTTCATTTAGTTGGCAGTTTTTAGAAAAATACCTGGCAGCACCAATTGGTGGGATAACAGTCTCCCTGTTAGGTTTGTTTCCCCCCAGTTAGGGGAAACTTGATCTCGAGGCAAGCTAGAGTTCATTTTTGTATTCTCCTCTTCACTCTCCTCTGGTAATATGAAGAAAACAGATTTTAAGTTAGTGTATTCTCAGAAGCTAGTGGCACCTCTGCAGGTATCTCACTTTAAACAAGAGATTTATTGGAAAGAATAAAAATTTGATTAATAGTCTGAAGTGCAGTAGGAAGAATTTGCTGCTTACAGAAATTGTATAATATACTTTTGAAAGCCAAATGATCACTCTCTGATTTATTTTGTTAGAACTTAGATTTTTATGTAATAAGTTTTAAATATATTTATTACCACATTTTAGACAAATTTTCTTTATATTTTTTCCTAGTGACTTCTGAGGCAAAGCTCATTAGGACACATTAGTGGCATAATTTTTCATTTGGAAGATTTATTTCCCCACTTGATATGCTGTTCCATATCAGCCCAGAGAGGCTGCTGTAACAGTCGGCTGCTAAATCAAGAATTTGGTAAAGCTTAGTTGTTGCCCTTAGGATGCAGAACATGCTGACATGCTGGTGAAAGCCAAACCTATATTCTTTAGATTTGGAAATTGGCAATCCACTAAAATACCTTGGTTTTTCTTATTCATATGTTAGAAAGTACATTGAATATTATCAGCACTACAGACCTGAAATTCCCTGCATATAGTAATAAAATAGCCAGTATTTACTCAGCATTTACTTTTTGGGTTTTTTTTTCTTTTGAGACGGTCTTGCTCTTTAGTTCAGGCTGACCTTCAACATGAGGTGATCCTCTAGCCTCAGCCTCCTGAGTGCTGGGATTACAGGTGTGCATCACAACTGGCTTCAGTGTTTACTATTGGTTCATTTGCCAAATGTTTATTGAGCACTTACTGTGCCCAGGACAGCTCTACATGCTAGGCTCCAGGTGTTAACAGGACAGACACCAATCCCTGTGCCCTAAAGCTTCCATTCTAATTTTGATCTTATTTCTCACATTTTCAGAGAAAGGAACTAAAGCTCAAAGGTTAACTGTGATACCACAGCCAGCGAGTGTAGACAGGATTCAGATCGAGGCAGTCTGGCTCTAGTCTGTTCCCCTAACCACTAGGCTCTGAACTCATCATGTGGTCAGCTTGCTTCTAGTTGTCCACATCAGGAAGCAATCATTCAAGTCATTTATTTTGGAATTGTAATGTCTTCAGTAAAGTCAGTAAGTTCTATTCATTCCAATGATGTATCTAATTTAAACCTAGAATGTACCAGAGTACAATATATATGTGCTTAAAACTTTTTGCCAATCATTCTCTTAGCAACAATAAAAATGT